TTAGGCGTGCCCAGAAGCGCAAGAATCTGTCTGCGATCATGGCCAAGCGCGTCATGCTCCAAGCTTTGGTGCGAGGTGCCAACGCGAAGTTGCGGGCGCCGCGGGCGACTGGGCTGCTTTCATCGGCGGCCCATGACGTTGGAGTGCGTGGAGTTGCCGAGTCGGTGCTCAAGAAGCTGAGGTTAGTTGCTGCCGCGCTAGTTGGGGCGAGACCTCATGCCGCCAGCGCGGCTCGGATCAGCGCCAAGACGGGCAGTCAGTTTGATCTCGTTTCCACGCCGCGCCAAACGTTGCCATCAGAAATGCTGGCACCAGTTGAGACGCTGCCGTATTCGCGGCCGGACTTCAGCTGGTTTGCGTGCCCATGGTTGAGCGGTTCACTTGTTCTCCTATTTGTTATAAGTGCTGGGGCCCGATCTCAGCCGCATTTTGTCGTTGGAACGTGTTGGATGGCGTTTTGCTTCGGCGTTCCCTAGTGGCAGGCCTCGGCGCGGTTGCCAGCGCGCCGTGGGCATCGCCGCTGGAGATCGAAGAGATATTGGTTGATGGCAATGGCAGGTGGCATATGGAGAGGATTCCCCCCCGCGCATCCGACGCTTTCGGTCGCAAGCAGGTGATGCGCAGGGGGCCTTCGGAAATGTGTCCTTGTCATTCGAAATCCTGTTCGTCGTGGATGTGCTCGGTTGTTGTTATGTGCGGGCCTCTTCGAGAAAGCGCGTCGCCGGGCTTCGCTCGCCGGCACCTTGCGATGTCTTTTCGCGCTCGGCCTGGCTACCACCTGTCGACTGGGGCGCGCTTGGGCTCGCGCGTGGGCTCCCGCTTTACCCTTGCGACCTTCCCCCCCGCCCCCAATGTCCTGTGTCCCGATGGGGTGCAACCGGAGGGGTTTGGGGGTAGTTGGTCTACGCCGACCGACGACTCTGGGCTTGCTGGCGCCAGCCCAGAGCTCAGGCGGCGCGGGTGGGCCGTGGTCGAGCTGGGTCGAGCGGGCCCCTGCCTGGGCGCCAGGCGGCGCCTCGCGCCGAGCGCTTCGCGGGTGCGTGGGCGATCAAGATTGCGCCCCCCCGCCTCGAGGTTTGTAGTGGCCACTTCTGGATCGTGCTGCAGGCCAATCTTTATCAGAGCACCATTAAAGAGTTATCAAGTTTGAGATCTGGGGTTGTTCGGTCTGCTGCGCGCGCGACCGGACCTTGACTCCCACTCGCGGCTCGCCGCGCGCGGGTCATCGCCGTGTGTTCCTTGCGATCGTGGCCAACTGTCGGGGGCGCAGCTCGTGCCTCGTCAGTTGCAGCTCTGCCCATGCATGCTTTATTTGCAGTGTCCGCGCAAATCTTTCGCAGGGGCAGCGGGCAAAATGTTTGCCGAGTCCCTGCCCAAGAGGGTTTAGGAGCCCTCACCTACGTAGCAGCTGAATCCGAGATCCCTCCTCCAGGTATCCCGACCCCGCCAAAGGCAGGGTGCATATGCTAGATCAGTGAATCCTGCCCAGCCAGCTTTAGCGCTGCAGTTTTGAGCTATATCGCATCCTACGCGTCGCCTCCTCCTTCTCCTCCACCTGCTCTTCCGCCGTTGGCCAGGCGAGTGCTTGCTAACCTGCAGGCTCTAGCTGATCTGAACGATGGGGTGATTTTCTGGCTGTTTTGAAGAGTCGTGTGCTCCTGGCCTCTGCTGATCCTGATGTGAGGCGAAGGGCTTCGAGTTTTCCCCTGCACGGTGTCCCGCCCCGCCAAAGGCGAGGTCAATCTACTCGATGAGCGAAGTCAGCCCAGCCAGCTTTAGCGCTCCAGTCTTTGAGCTAGCTCGGAACCAGGCGCGGCAACCCAGTCGTTTGTTAAGGAAGGGTGCTCGCGGGATCCTAGTCTGGTAAAGTCGAAGTCCTTGCATGCTGATATCTGGCGTGACAGGTTGCCGATGTGTTCATCCAGGGTGAAGAGGGCCACGTGGCTCTTGTGAGCCAGAAATGGGGTTGCCCTTCGCGTGCTGTGCAACTTAGAAGTATGGCTGCTGCCGCTTGCCAGCCGCCACCCTGGCCGACCCGTGTCGAGAATTTGCGGCGCAATGCGGCTTTCGAGGAACACCGCATTGTTTTCTTCCCGAGCCGGAACGAGTGGCGTTGCCGAGAGTGTGATGCCACCGCGGTGTCCGAGCAGACCCTGAAGGGACTGCGAACGGGTGCGACTCGTCGGTGCAACCTTGGTGCAGCCCAGGCGTGGCGTGCTGATCAATCTTTCGCCCAGGCCGAACCCAGCCCGCCCGACCCCGCGATCCAGGTCGCCGTCGCGATTGCTGATGGGGTCCTAGGTCCGCCTTTCGACTCCGTTTCATTTTCGCAGTGCTCGTGGGGCATCACACGTGGATTGGCCCGGTGTCTTTCGACTGTTCGGTTGCAAGTCTCATTTGTTTTTTTTTTTTTTTTGAAAGTGCTAATCTACGAGCGGTGTGCGTACTGCCTCCTGCTTCTGGAAAGGCAATCGTCGTGGCCTCGAGGCGGAGTGTAATGGGGATGCCCAGGTGCGTTCTGCTCGTGATGGGCACCTCGGGATGGTTTCGCTTACTTTGCCGGGTCACCATCGGAAAACGGGCGCCCAGTTGCCCAGCTGTAGATTTTCCCAAAACAGTTTTGTTGGGTTCAGCCTGTTGAGCCCCATGTTGTGGAGAGGTATAATTATCATTGTATATCTCTGCTGTCCTCAATCACTGCGGCGTGCTATCGTTCTCCGACTGCAGTGTTGCATGCTCGCTCGCTTGCCCCCTCGTCCCCTTCTCTCCTTTTTTTTCTTCCCTCTGCTTCGTTTATCACCTCTCACTCCTCCCTCCCTTCTCCCCTTCCGTCTCTTCCCTCCTCCCCCTCTCCTTCCCCTCTTTTCCCTCCTCTCCCTCTGTTACCGCTTCCGTCTTCTCCCTCCATCGCAGTCTCATTCTTCTGTCGTCCCTCTTGTCCCTTCCCCCCTCTCGCTCCTTCCCTCCTTCTCTTCCCCCCCTCTCTCTTCAGGATCCCCCGCCAAGCGCGCATTGTTGTCGTCGCTCCCCCGCGCAGCCGTCGGCACGCCCCCGCGACGTCCCTGGCAACCTGGCGCGGCAGCCGACGTGCTAGCACTGCCATCGCCAGAAGATCCCTGCCAGAAGATCCCTGCTCAGAGGACCGCGTCTACCTGTCGGACCGCACGTGTGCCCCGTTTGAGGCAGCATCATCATGCCTCACTTCTGGCAATCGCGCTCTACTCATGCCCTAATTGTCGTGGTTTTGGTTTACGTTTGCGGCCATGCCGTCGAGCGATGATTAGGAGAGGTCCTCGAAGTGGGTTGAACCGCTTTTGCCCCACCCCCCCTCTCTGCCTCCTCGTCCTCCGACTGCAGAGGACGGGGAGGATGAGGAAGGACTGGACGGGGGGAAGGGGAATAGCAGGAGGAGGATGGGGAGGAGGAGGGGGAGGAGGAGGAGGAGGAGGGGGAGGAGGAGGAAGAGGACAAGCTAGGTGCGCTGGCGCTTCATCAGACATCCGATCCCTCCCTCCTATCCCTTCCCATGGCGCTGTTTTTGCTCTATCCGCGGACGCATGTCATAGCCGACCTGCGACTCACACGGAAAGACCACTTCGTGCTATGTGCAATCGAGAAAGGGGGAACTGCGCGCACAGGAGGAGGAAGAGGAGGAATAGGAAGAGGAGGAGGAGGAGGAGGAGGAGGAGGGGGGGAGGAGGAGGAGGAGGAGGAGGAGGAGGTTGCAGGTGAGCAGGAGGATGAGCGGGAGGAAAAGGATGAGGACGAACAACAGCAGCAGAAATTGAAGCGGAAGGATCGAGAGGGAAAGGAAGGACCACGGAAAGGCGGAAGAGGGGAAACGAGGGGGGCGACAGCGACGAAGACAGACTCGGACTTGGAAAGTGGCCCGCGCTGGGGCGAGACGAAGAGCAGCAGCAGCAGCAGGAAGTGGAGCGAAGGAGCGGGAGGAGCAGGAGGACGAGGGGAAGATGGCCGAGGGGAAATGATGCTGGAGGGGGGGGGCCAACGAGGCAGGCCTCGGATATCCAGGAGAGCGGCCCGCGCTCGGGCGAGGGCGCCACTCTGAACAACGGCGGGAGCGGCGCGCCGACCCGCCCGAAACCGGGGCCCACGCTGCAGCGGGAGCACCTTCTTGAAACACCGAACACGAACCATATGCGGGACGGGAGAATGACCACAGCCACTGCTTCTTGTTTGCCCCGCCTTCTAGCCGGCCAGAAAAGAAGCAGTGGTTGTGGTCATTTCCCTGGTGCCAAGCCCAACGAAAATGACCAGAACCACTGCTTTGTTTCTGCTGGCTGGAAGGCGGCAACAAAAGAAAAGCAGTGGCTGTGGTCGTTTTCACGTCCCGTACCATAAGAAACATCAACTTTTGAAGTCCTGTCTACAATCGAACAGCATGCGGAGGGGGCGGGAGATTTTCCGGACAACTTCTGGGGATAGGGGGAGAGCAGTATCCACATGGTTCAGTTGTAGATGGGGTGTTCCCAAGAGCAGATTTCTCCGCCCCGCATCCCTGCGCCCTGATGGGCATGGAACGCCGCTGAACCTTCCCACTCGGTGTCGACGCAGAAAAGTCGCGTAGGTCTACGGATGGCCCTCCACGGAGGAGGCCCGTTGCTGTGACATCCATGGCCATGCCTCAGTGGGTGTTCCACCGGCTTCCAGACCCTGGGTTGCTTATCCAATGGTTCCTTGTGCAATGCCTTCACCGCGTGAGAGTCAGGAGGAAAAAAAACACAGACATAATTAATCGACGATTCCTGAGAAAACATGGGACAATACGGGAAGTGGGGGGAAGACAAAAACCCAGAAAATATGAGAAAATATGGGGAATCCTGTGATTTGTGTTTTGTGTCTATGTATTTGTGTGTCCCAGGGCCCCTTCAGAGAGGTTCGCTGCCCTTTGGACTGGTCGGTCTCTGGCGGTGGCAGTGGCCCGGCGCCGGCCGCCCCAGCCGGCGTCTGCGACGAGCCGGCAGGGGCCGCATGCCCAGATGTCCAGGTGCCGCGCGCGCGTGCGCCCGCGGCTCACGTCATGATCTCGTCAGCGCCCGCGGTGCGCGCGCGCGCGCGGTGCGCGCCCCGCTCCGAGGGGGCGATCAGCGCATTCACCGCCACCGCGGGTGCAAGAGCAGCGTGGCGGGGGATACGATCCCTTCCGCCACCCAGGTTGGCAGTGCTGCTGAGGCGCGCGTCAGTGCCGTGGCTGCTTTTGCTGCTGCTCCTCTTCGTCCCCTCTCGTTGCTGGTGCTTGTCCTCGTCCTCTTCCTCCTTCCCTTCTCTTCGTCTCCTTCTTCTCTCTCTCTCTCTCTTTCTCCTCGTCTCACGCTGAACAGCGTTATGATAGTTTTGTTCCCTTTGAGGTTCCCGTTTCCTATGCTTTATATAGATCGTCCTTAGCAGGCCCCAGTAGGAAATGGTGGAAACAAGCAGATTATCAAACGAGCATGAGGAGGAGGGGGAGGAGGAAAAACAACAGCAGGAGAGGAAGGGATGATGAGGAGGCGGAGGCGGGCAGAGGCGGAGGCGGAGGAGGAGGAGGAGGAGGAGGAGGAGGAGGAGGAGGAGGAGGAGGAGGTAGCAAGAGGATGAGAAGGGAAGGATGATGCAGGTATCAGCCGCAGGAGGGCATCATTACCGATCTCCCCACCTGGTGCTCCTCTGCTCACCGTAGGCATCCTGCCCTTTTTGCGGCCTGCAGCCTGGCATGCACGGCTGCACTCTCTCTTCCTTCGGCGAGAGCGGCTCAGCCAGGCCTGCGCAGAGCCGCTCGCCTGTGTACCTGGGGTTGCTCCCCACGAAAGGGCTTGCCGCGCCTGGGAGCCATGCCTGCGCAGAGCCGCTCGCCTGTGTACCAGGGGTCGCTCCCCTACGGAGGGGCTTGCCGCGCCTGGCACGCTCTGCCCGAGAGTTCCGCTGGCTCTTCATGAGGCGGGCCGGCAGTATCTTCTCGGCCCGTCGGGTCGAGAGGGCCCCGCATTTGCCAGAAGGCAGGAGGCCGCAGGGACACGCGGCGGCGCAACCGTGGCTGCTGCGATGACGGTGGTGAGGGCGACAGACATGCGCCCCCGCATGCGCCGTCAAGCGTGCACCTTTCAGGAGGACTCTTTTACCCTTCAGGGAGTTGGCGCGCTTAGAAGGAGGCGAGAGGGAGGTCCTGGGAGAAGGTCCCGCTCGAGCCCGACGCTTCGCTTGAACTCCCCGCCCCTCTGGAATTCTTGGCCTCCTCGCGTCTGCAAACTTAGCCAGCATGCTTGGGTGGCACGTGCCGTACGGGTGGGCCGATCGCTCGGCCCAGTCCCTGGCCGCGCAGGGCCGCTCCTTTCGTGGTCAGGCGGTCGACCTGGGTGTTGCAGATCGCGTTGAGCCCAGCGGAGTGTCGGCTCGTGCGGGCCCTCGCCTTGACAGCTTCAGGCATGCCTGGCTCGATGAAGGAGCTGTCGACGAGGCGCCCGAAGTTGCCTCCACACCTCCGGGTGCGCGCGGCCTCTCCTCGCCTGCGCGCCTCGGCATGCCGTGGCGCGGCTCACGCCCGCACGCAGAGGAGCACACCCGTGGCGTAGCGCCCTGCAGGGAGGCCGCGAGGCGGGCTCGCAACAGGGAGGCAAGCGGTCAAGACCACTCGGGGGGGCCCGCGACACTGCTTCGCAGCCGAGGGGGGAGGAGGCGGGGGGAGGGAGGGGGAGGGACGAGGAAGCGGAGGAGGAGGATGAGAAGTGTGAGGATGAGACGTGTGAGGATGAGGAGGAGGCTGAGGATGAGGATGAGGACCCTAGTAACCCCAAGATCTGCCAGCGCTGCTGCAAGACACCCTCCCGCCCTCCATCCTTCGAGGCTTAAGTCGGGCCTGTCCTTCTACAGGGGGACTTTGGACGAACAATAAAAAGTTGCCAACACATACCCTAAAATATTCAAAAATGGTCAGACAATCGTCCCCAGACAATTTGTTTAACTATTTTTGAATAATCCACCTGTAGAGGGACAGGCCCGACTTAATTCGAGGCATCAGGAATGCGTCAAGGTGGAGATTTCAAGTTCCAGGACTTGCCCGGCAGCAGCCCCTCTGTGACATGGATCCGCCCTCCATCCGTGTAATAAAATTCGGCACTTGCGGTCATATTCGTGAAGGAAGTCAAATTCGAGACCCTACTCAGAGAAACTTGCCAGCCTCCATCCGTGTAGCTGTTTGAAATGGTTAAGACGAATATTCGCCGCGCTACGGCGAGAGCCACATCAATCGATTGGCCTTCGGCCAATCCCGCCACCGTGCCTGGGTTGTGGGTATAAAGCTTATTGGGTGTTCGTTGGGATCTCGTGGGCGGCCTCTCGGGGACCTCTTGGAGGCAATTTGGAGGCCTCTTGGGGCCGTTTTGTGGCCTCTTGGGGCCTCTCTTGGCCTTCTTGGGGGCCTCCTGGGGGCCTCCTGGGGGCCTCCTGGGGGCATCTTGGGGCGGAAGGCTCGGATTTTCGGTTCGTGTTGCCTCTGTTGGGTGCCTTTTGGGGCCGTCTTGGGCCGTCTTGGGGCCGTCTTGGGGGCGTCGTGGGCCGTCTTGGGGCGGTCTTGGAGGCCTCTTGCGCCGTCTTGGAGCGTCGGTAACCCGACCATGCGAGTAGACCAAAAACCATCAAAAGAAACTTAACGGAATCAGTGATTTTGGTCTCTTGGGGCCTTCGTGGGGGGCCTCTTCGAGGCCTCTTGGGGCATCTTGGAGGCCTCTTGGGCCGTCTAGAGCCATCTTGGGCGTCTTGGGCCGATCTTTCGGCGACTCGGGGCCCTCTCGGGCCGTTTTCGGGGTCTCTTGGGGCCCTCTTGGTACTCTCTTGGCCCGTCTTGGGCCGTCTTGGGCCCGAAAAAGTCACGCGGGGAAACGCGCCAGAGCCCAGGGGGCACGCGGGAAACACTGGCAAATTTGAGAATTTTGGGCCCGGGCTCCCTAAAAATATCCCTAAAGACTGATGACTGAAGTTCCAGGGATTAGGCAAAGGGACCAGAGGACACGCCCACTTCTTGCCCATAGGCACGGTGGCAGTAACGCGACCAGCCCTCCATCCGTGTAGTTGCTTGCATTGTTTAAGACGAATGCGCGCGGCGTAAAGGCGAGAGTCACATTTGAAAGTGACCGGCCCTCCATCCGTGCAACTGGTGGAAAGTTTGAAGGCGAATGTGAGGAGGTGGTGGTGGTGGTGGAGGAGGAGGAGGAGAGGAGGAGGAGGAGGAGGAGGTTGAAGAGAGTTTCTGGAGGCTTCTGCATCCCAGTTGTCTTTGGAAGCGTGCGTCCAGCACCGTTGTGGACGACGCCGCCCGGACGGCCTCGTCAAGGATCGGTGTGCGTGCTCGGTGACTGCGCTCGGTTTCCCACTGTGAGCGGGGTAGCGTGTAGCGTGCACGGTTTGAGCAGCCGTGTGACCTGCTGGGAGTGGGCGGGATGGGCGCTGCCTCCCGAGGTGCAGGAAGGACGGCGATGGCGTCTCGTCGGGCTCGGACGAGGACCAATCCAGCAAGGACTGCTCGGTCGTGGGATGGAGGAGGGATGGGGAGCGGAGATGGGTGATCACAAACCAAGCCGCGCCTCACCTGCCCTTCATGCCCTGCGAGATGAACGCCGACAAGACGAACATGCCAGAGCTGGCCGAAACACGCGGATACCGACCCGAGCACGTCCAAGGAAAACCATGTTCACTCGCTCCACCTGGAACGCCATGCCGAAAAGGGAGACACATTGCTGAGCAAATTCAGTGTGTAGCTACGCAGAATGCCCACTCGGTATGATGAGGTCCTGCAGCCACAGGCTTACGTATAAGCACTATACACACGAGGCTGTAAACCCAAACGACAGACATACAAGCCTCTCAGTGCCAAATTGACAAAATAAACAACATAACGGACCCACAACGACACTGCAGCCGAGAATTTGCCGACAGACCGCATCTGAAATAGGCCTTGCGCCACCAATCCAACCAAGAACAACCATCAGGAACCTACGCGGGACGGGGGCGAAAGACGCGATGCGCAGGGGGAAGGGCTTCAGCTTGACGTGCCCCCTCGCCTTGCAAGCATGCAAGCAAACTCCTAAACGTGTGGGTGAAGAAGGGCCTTAGCGGGGATGGGTGCGGGGGGAGGGAGGAGAGAGGGGGGGAGGAGGAGGAGAGCGAAGGGCGGATGGATGGATGGGTGAAGAGGGGCAGGGAGGGAGGAGCAAGGATGGAGGGAGGGAGAGAGGGAGGACAATTATGGGGAGGAGGAGGAGGAGGAGGAGGAGGAGGAGGAGGAGGAGGAGGGGGAGGAGGAGGAGGAGGAGGAGGAGGAGGATGTGGATGTGGAGGTGGAGGAGGAGGGGGAGAAGCCGCGGCAACGCTCGAAGAAGAAGAAGAAGAAGAAGGAGGAGGAGAAGGATTAGGGAGGAGGAGGAGGGAGCAGAAGGAGGAGGAGGAGGACCAGAGTAAACCCATGCATCAACGTGCTGCGAGCTGCTCTCTCGTTCCGAGCCTCCTCCGTGCAAGTCCTTGCGCACATTCTCCTCTTCACTGCGGGCAGCGCCCTCTTGGCAGACGAACGCCCCGTGGGCGTGCCATTCAGGCGAGACCGTGTTTTGTAAAGGATCCACCTTCCACACACATGATTCATTTCCAATCCTTCGAAAGTTCTTCGATTCGATTTTTTTGGGGGCCAAGATCCTTTCATTTCTAAGTGTTCTGTCCTGGTCCTCTTCCTGGCCACTAGGGGGCCAGGAACACTTCGAAACGAGCACGATTAGAAATGAGCACGTTTAGAAATCAACGACGTGTACTTGTGGTGCTGTGAAGATGCGAAGAGGTCGGAACACATGTTCAAGGGAGTGTCCAGGGGAAGCTCCGTTTCGAGGCGGACCTGCCTTGCAGCCGTCGGAACTTTGCGCAGTTTCAGAGCTCTTTGCGTCAACATCGCAGAACTTGTTAAGCGGGAGCTCCATCAAGAGAAAGGCAGCCCTGCATCCGTGCGGCTGGTGCACATTCAGACTCGTCTGGTTTTCAAATTTGAGGCAATCTCCAGCGGGAGGCCCATGCTGAAAAGCAGCCGCCCTTCGTCTATGTAATGTGTGAGCTTGTTTACGACGAGTGTGCGCGCCGCCAATGCTGGAACCCCATGCTGAAAACGATCTGCCCTCGTTCCGCTGAATTGTTTTTTCAAGACGAGTGTGCGGGGCACCAAGGCGAGATCTCCATTGTGAAAGCCACCTGTGTTCCATCCGTATGCGGTCAGGAACTTTTGCTTAGCGCGCTGCGCCGCCAGTTCTGTCCAACCACGCCTCGGAGGGGCACGCTATCCACGTCTTGATCCCCGAGGGGCAATGCCCCGTGCTTTCCCTGGCCTCACGCATCCCAGAGCAGAGCGACACGCTATCCGCTTGCAAGGCATCGCGTGTCGCTGCGGCCGCCGCCGCGACATGCTAAGCAAAAGGTCCCGACCGTACCTGAAGGACATGTCAAGCTTCGAGACCATACAAAGGAGAAAGCCTCAGGCGAAATGCCCGTGCCGTTCTGACGACACGTCTGGTGGTGCGGCAGGGAGGAGGAGGATGAGGAGGATGAGGAGGAGATATCTACCGCGAGGAGGGATGGAGGGTGGGTGATGGAGGGAGGGCGAAGAGGGACGGGGTTGTGGAAAGTTGGACTTCGACCCTTCGAGGATTTGCCCTTATGTGTAGGGCTAAGGTTAGGGAAGGGAGGGAGGTAGGGAAAGATGAAGGGCGGGAAAAAGCGGGGGAGTGAGGGAGGGAGGGAGTGAGGAGGGAGGCGCAGGAGGAGGAGGAGGAGGAGGAGGAGGAGGAGGAGGAGGAGGAGGCGGAGGATGAGGGATGGAGGGGGGAGTGAGCGAGAGAGGGAGATAGGAGGAGAAGGGAGAGGGAGGAGGGGAGTGAAGGTGGGAAGGAGGGCTGCTGAGAGGCGGGCAAGGCGCGTAGCTGGCCTTGATGTGTCGGGCTGGTCGTCGAGCACATCGCACAGTGGCAGAACAACGAGGCACATTCAGTGGCATACGACAGAAAGCCGGCGGGAGGGAGGGAGGGAGGGAGGGAGGGAGGAGGAGGAGAACGAGGGGGAATGGGAAGGGGAGGACGAGGAGGAAGAAGACGACGAGTACATAGTGGGGGGCCAGGCGGAGGGGGAAGGTGGAGGAATGAGGAATGAGAGGGAGGATGATGAGGAGGAGGAGGGGGGAGGGAGGAGGAGGAGCAATGAGTTGGGGGAGAAGGGGGGAAGCAGGGCGGATGGGGGAGGGGTGGAAGGGTGCGGAGGGCCCCCCGCCTTCGGAAGAGCTCCAGGATGTGCGTTGCAGGACCCGTGGCTCAGGCTGGGCTCGCCGCAGTTCAGGTGAGCGGTTCCCTGAGGTCCGGGCGTCGCGAGCAAATCGCCACGGGCGCTCCTCCTGGGCCTCGGGCCCCAGGGCCCTCGCGGATCGATTCCGCTCGAGAGGTGGGGCAGAATTGTTGGGCCTTGGGTTCTCAGGCCCCGATTTTCCACGGCGCAGTGCTGTTTTTCGAGAGGTCGGATCTGGGGTCGAGCAACTTTGAATCGTCATTCCAATTTCGGCGGCGCGCCCAGGGGGGAAGACAGAGGGATGTGCCTTCTCAGAAGGCAGAAGACATCCGGCCTTTTGAGCAGCCTTCAGAGACGGCTTCTCAGAAGGCCGGAGGGCTTTAACTTTCGAGAAGCCCCGCCGCCTTCTGCGAAGGCTTGCCCCCTCTCACTTCTCTCCTCGACGCGCCCCCCATGATGTTATTCATTGTCGCTCTGCGCCTGCACGCCTAGCGCACCCCTCCTCCATCGCTCCCGCTGCCTGCCGCCGAAGGAGGCAGATGGCCAGAGCGTGACGGTGTGCTTTTCATGCTGCCCCTCAGCCATAATGGTCGGTGGCGGTGGGGCTGGAAGTGCATCACCACGAGCTGCCAATGATGACAGTACGCTCCGGTCTGCATGCCAAGATTTTCGGATGGCGTTTTTCGGATTTCGGCTTCCAGGGGCTGTTTTTTCGGGTCCCGGGGCCAAAAATATTTGATCCGGGGCGCCACGCCGGCCCTGGGAGAAGGGGTCGTGACCACTGGGGCCGCGCATGGAACGAATCGTGTTTTCGGATGTCTGGGTGGCCGCCTTGTCATCGAAGGAGAAGTGATTCGGTAGGGCAGTGAGGGGTGCTTACCATTTGAGGCGGTGTAGTTTTCTAGAGTGCGGGGTTTAGCAGGGATCTTTTGGCTCATTCCTCGATCCAGTCCCTCTCATCCCACTCCTCCCCACGTCGTGATGCTTTCAATACTGGGTGCCCTGAAGTTCCGACCCATTGCCTGGGGCCCGTTTTCAGTCGCGGATAGTTTTTGATGGTCCGTGTCCCAAAAGCATCGCTTGGGCGCCGACACAGGGGACACAATTTTAGGATTGAGTTGCAGCAGTACGACGGAGGTCTGGGTCTTATCCTCTTGCGTTCTTGGAGGGCCCTGATCCCTTGACGTGGGCTCGGTCGGATCGCTGCCCCGCCGATCGATCGAGATCAGGGTGGCCGACCAGCTTCTCGAGCAACAACGTGTTCTCAAGTTGACTGTGGAACGGCATGTCTGAATCTAGAGGTCGAGGGAACCGCAAAAACAGAAGCTTTGGACGCTCGCGCGCTTGAGATGGACATGGGGAGTGGGTCCTGCGCTTGCGGAGAGATCGGCAGCTGATTTCCGAAGGTTAAGAGTCATTCCCCAAGCAGTGCTTGGACTGTAGGGTTCCTAGATGACTTGTGCTACTAAGTGCATGGGTTGGTTTCCCATGTTTTCGCCCAGTCCCCCGCCCATCGCCGCCTCGTCGTCGCCTCTGAACTGGGCGGGTTCCCCAGGTTTTTGCCCGGAGCCCCCCCGTCGACACCTCGTCACCGAGTGACGGGCGGGTCCTTCCGCAGGTTCACCTACGGAAACCTTGTCACGACTTCTCCTTCCCCGAAGTGATAAGGTTCACTAAACTTTCCGCAAGCAGGTCCAGGAACTGGACACCGCAGCAGTCCGAATTATTCACCGGATCACTCAATCGGTAGGAGCGACGGGCGGTGTGTCCAAAGCATCGACACCTCGTCACCGAGTGACGGGCGGGCACCTGGCATTGCTTGCACCAGGAGGCTTGCATGTTCCTTCTAGGCGAAGAATTACCACCCTCCCGAGCCCAGTCTTCGCGCCCCCCCCCCACACTCCCCCATTGGGGTACCGCAATCCAGATGTTCCAATCGAAACCAGACCATCCCAGCCAGGCTGATATCGACCTCTCCGTCGCCGCCCCGTCGCCGCCTTGTCGCCGCCTCGTCGCCGCCCGTAGTATGGGCCGGTGTGCCGCTTTGGCGCCTATGTAGTCGCCGTCGCCAGCCTGGGCTGGTGTGCCGCTCTTGCGGTTATGTAGTCGCCGTCGCCGTCCCGTCGCCAGTTCGTCGCCGCCCGTCGTCTGGGCTGGTGTGTCGCTTCGGCGCCGATGTAGCCGCCGTCGCCGTTTCGCCGCCGCATTGTCGCTGCCCGTCGTCTGGGCTGGCGTGCTACTCCGGCGGCCATGTTGTCACCGTCGCGGTCCCGTCGCCGCTGTCGACTGACTGCGCTACATTGGCAGCAAAAAACGAAGTGCACGCGCGCGCGTCGTTGCGCGCGCATGCCGAAATCATTCAAAAACCTCTGGTTTCGGAAGGATTTCAAAATCGAATGTCCAAACACATATACGAACACATGGTTTCGCAACGCGGATTTTCGAAAAAAACGTGCGGGCGCGCGCCCTAGCGAATTCTTGAGAACAGCCATCGGTTTTCAACATTTTCAGAACACATTACCAAGTGGGCTTCGCGCGCGCATGTCGAAATCGTTCGAACGCCCTTGCGCGCGTGCCGTCGCGAGTATCTTTTGCAAAACATGTTACGAAGTGCATGCGCGCGTCTCGTCGCGCGCGCATGTCGAAGTCCTTCCAAAAACTTCGGTTTCGTAAGGATTTCAGAACATAATTTCCAACACACATTCAAGACCACAAGGTTTCGCAACATCAGTTTTTCACAAGCGCGCTTGCGAATCCCTAAGAAAACCATGGTTTTTCAACATGTGCATGGAATTCTGCCAAAAGGGCCCCTGGCGCCGCATGCCGACATCATTCGCACGCCCTTGCGCGTGTGCTGGGGGAGGGGGGCACAATCCGTGTCAAATAAAACTATGCGGGCCACTCTCGCGCGTCGGCCGCGCACGCATGGCGAACCCTTTTAAAAACTTTAATGCCGACGCGAGGACGCCGTCCTCGTCTTCGGCGTGATCAGCATCGGCGCCCGCACTGGCCGAGCCTTCGTCGGTGCGAACATCGTCACCAGCATCGCCACTATCTACCGTATGCGGCGTTGCCATGATACCGCGCCCGCCCAAGTCGCCGACTCGCATTGAAGTGCCCGCTGCGATGCGCCCAGCAGTCAGCGCCACCGCGGCCGCGTCGGTGGCGCCAAACTAGCTGGCCGCTGCGCGCGCGTGCTAGGGTTGGCGCGGCCGCAGAGATGCACCAGCCAACGCCAAGCATGCATCGCAATCGCCACCGCGTGGGAATTGCAAACCAAGTTGCGGGTGGGTGGGATGTTTGCAAGGGCGTGGGATGTGTCAACTCGTTTGTTAAAATCAATTCTCTTTTTTCCCAAGGAAGGATAAACCCTACCCCCCGGAATTAACGGCCCCCCACTGGGATATTATACTTTCATATTTATTCTGCACATTCGTCCATCCAGAATATGAACTCATACGATCCCAGGCAGGCCGGTATCGCCCCCCTCGTCATCCTTGCCAAATCATACTACGCGCGCACTTCTTCATCTGAAGAAGTCAATTTTCAGTAATCCTCACTAGCAATATCACAAAGTCATCACTCGCGCGCCCATGTCAAAATCGACCAACCACAACGTGTTTGCAAGCATATCAGAAATAACAATTTTAAATTCCAAATGGTGTTGCAACACAGATTTTGCAAATTTCCTGTCCGCGCGCTCATGCTAAAATCATACAAAACCGTGGGATTCTTATGAATCCTGCCAAATCCAACGATTTCATGCCACCGCGCGGTGCACCCGCGATGCTCCTGTCATGCGCCGAGGGCGCGAATCCCTTGCAACAAATACTACGCGGGCCACACGCGCGCACCGCAGCGTGCGCATGTTCAGTCTGACGGAGTTGTTGAACTTCCGCGCGCGCGGGTTTCCTTCTCAACCTTGTCAGCATCACCGCGATCACCTGCCTCATCGGCAAATGGACATCAGCATCGCTAGCGTGTTTGCCATCATTAGCGCCGTTCTCGTTCGTGCCGTCGCCCACTAGAACATTGTCGTGGCCGGTGCCATCTTCGTCATTGTCTCAGACTTTGCCGACGTCATCTTGTCATCGCGCGCGTCGGGGTATCGTCGATGTGCCCGCCTTCGTCGTCGACCCACGGTGGCGAGCGTCGGCAGTGGGGATGTTATCGTCGACGTCGTCATCGGTGGCGCCGCCGTCCCCTGCGTCATTAGTTTGCCGAACAAGTTGCGGGTGGGAGGGTGGGGTGCGTGCGCGTGCAGTGTAGATGGCGACTTCAAGTTCAGCAGAGTGGGTTGCACCGCGTAGATTCTCCTTTCTCGGAAAAATTAAAATCCCCCCCCTTGGCTTTACCGATCCACCCTTTCGTATTACAATTTACATATGATTCTGCCCCGTCGTCCATCCTAATTATGAGTTCATATCATCCCAGCCAGGCCGGCATCGATCCGCCATCCTCTGCAACAAACGCGCGCGCTCGTTTATCAGAAATCACCAGTTTCCAAAGGTACCTGGCAAAGCGTGACGAAATCCGCGCGCGCATCGTCGCGCGCGCGTGCCGAAAGCCTTGGAACTGTTGGTTTCGGAAGGATGTCAACATCTAGCGTCCAAAACACAGGTGAACAAACAGATCGGTTCGCAAGGCGGTATAAAAAACGCGCGCGCGTTCTAACGAATCCTTAATAAAACTAGATTTTCAACGCAAGCACTAGCAGAGGGACTTCGCGCGCGCATGTCGAAATCGTTGGAGCGCCTCAGCGTGCGTGCCGTCGCGAGAATCCTTTGCAACAGATGCGGCGAAATGCGCGCGCGTCGTCGCGCGCGCGTGCCTGAACCCTTCAAACGTCATGCGTGTCGTAACGAGTTCAGAACATAATGTCCACCAGGCATTCCAGAACACAATGTTTCCCAACATCAGTTTTCCAGAAAGAACTTGTGCGCGCTGCTGCGAATTCTTAAGACAACCAGTGGTTTTCCAACATTTTCACGGAATGCGGTCAAAATGGCTTCTGGCGCCGCATGCCGACATCATTCGCCCGCCCTTGCGCGCGTGCCGGGGGGGGGGGGGGGGCGGCGCGATCCGGGTCGAATGAAACTATGCGGGCCACTCGCGCGTCGGCCGCGCGCGCATGTCGAACAATTTCCAAAACCTTGAGTGCCGACGCGAGGGCGCCGTCCTCGTCGTCGGCGTGATCAACATCGGCGCCAGCACTGGCCGCGCCTTCGTCGGTGCGAACATCGTCGCCAGCGTCGCCATTATCATCGTCGCGTCCACCGTATTCGGCGTTGCCATGATACCGCGCCCGCCCGAGTCGCCGACTCGCAGTGAAGTGCCCGCTGCGATGCGCCCAGCGGTCGGCGTCGCCGCGGCCGCGTCGGTTGCGCCAAACTAGCTGGCCGCTGCGCGCGCATGCTAGGTTTGCCGCGGCCGCAAGGGTGCACCAGCCAACGCCAAGCATGCATCGCAATCGCCACCGCGTGGGTTTTGCAAACCAAGTTGCGGGTGGGTGGATGGGATGTATGCAAGAGTATGGGGCGTGTCAGCTCATGAGTAACAATCAATCGCACTACATATATTGCACCATAT